AGCATCACAAGAGTGGTTTGATGAGAAGTATCCAGGCCTGGTAGTCATTCCATGTGTTCCATGAATGAACTTAATGCCAGAGATAGCGGATTTCTAGTAAACGGAGAACTCAAAATTGTTGTCGAGATAGAGGTTCTTGACGTTATTGGCAAATTAGATGTGTCAGGGGAAGCTTCAACAATAACGGAAACCATAGATGTTAATGGGTTTCAACTTGTTCCTTCACAGGTAAGAAACTAAGAATGATACTAACTTTGCGTGTAGAAATTTAAGCCACAAGAGACAACATGATGTATTTATGTAACGTGGTTTTTTTGGGGCGTCTACCAAAACTGCTCTCTTTAATATGCCTTTATACTTGTGTTTTTGTTGGCAGGTGGAATCCGCGAGGCGTATATTTGAAAGACACCCGGAGATTGCCTCTGAATTCCGTCCAAAGAAGCCAAATCTTAGGACAGCTTACATGAGTTTGCTACTCAGTTTGATTGAGACTATGTGCATGCTACCTCAGGAAGTCTCCAAGGATGATCTCTCTAATGCATATGTTGCATTGGGATCCATGAGAGATGCAGAGTTTAAATTGGATTGGTTGGAGAAGAAACTTGATGAGATGTCAGAAAAGAAGGAGAAAGAGGAAGTTGGTGAGACTCGGATGCAAGAAATGGGGAAAGAGTTGAAGGACTTGAAGCTGAAGTGCTCAGATCTCGAAGCTCAGCTGGAGAAGGAAAAGGAAGAGGTTTTGGCTGCAAAAGCTCCTATCTCATTCGATGATGTTGTTTAATAATGTTCTGGAGTTCACCTTGGGAGTTTTTGTTCAGATTGGTGTTGTTGGTCTATTCGTTTGCAGTCTTGGTTTTCTGATATTGTTTGGATAAAGAAGTCACTAGTGGTTTTAGTTGAAGCTATTTCTATTTCAGTTTTCGTTGTTTCACCAAATTCCATTTAAGGTTTGCATGGGGAAAGGAGATGAGACAGTGAGAAGAATCTGGTCGAGATTAAAAAAGAGGGAGAAGAAGAATCTAGGTGAGATTTTAACAACAAACAACAAAAAAGAATCTTGTTGAGATGAGAAAGAGGAGAAGGAAGAATCAATAGAATCCAAAATGTGCAGGTTCCAAGTAACCCTAGGAGGAGGGAAAGTGATTCTCACCTTTGTGTACGTAATCTAAAGGATTCTCATATAGTAGAGAAATGCTTTAGAGTGGTTTGAACTTCTAATTTGGCTATGCGGTTGGGGATTGTTGTTTGACTCTCCGAATCAAAAAAATTGGGTGCGTGTCACTCAAGTTCTAGGGTTTCATGTTTTTTGTTGTGTTTTTCTTTTATAATGCATTCATTCATCTGTCATGAGGCCTCATCACATTCTTTTCATATTCTTGCTAGTTCGATTAAAGAGGAATCTTCATCAAGTAACAATGGGGAAGCAATTTAATAAGAAGGTCACTTGGGTTTATTAAGAATTTCTCCTCTTTGCCATCTGAGAAAATCTATTCTGATCATTTCGTCGTCGATGGCTGCAAATGGTAAGAAGATAAGTTTGTCTTGGTCCAATTTAGGTGTACATGATATTTTCCTTCGTTTTAGTGATTCTTTTATCCGTGTTGCCTACAGGCATCTTCTTGCCTATCCCAAGGGAAATAATGTTGATTACTTGTCTCTATATCTTGAAGTCGCCAATTATGGATCATTGCCTATTGGATGGAGAAGACATGCAAAATTTTGTTTTACTATAGTAAATCAACGTTTGGAAAAACTCTCTAGATGCGATGGTGGTAAATATTTCCTCCTACTGCTCTGTTTGAAAGAGTTCTTGTTTCCAAAGCAGTTTCAATGACAAT